GGGGGGGGGGCGGGAAATCAACCAAATCAAACCCCACAGAAAAGCAGAAGTTCTTCCGAGATCTTCACCCCAGATTTGCAGATTTAATGTATCTGGTTAGTTTAGATAACAGTCCAAGCTCTTCTTATAGATGTAGTGCATTGTTGCAGGAAATCTCAAAACATTTCGCTGTGCATCCGTTTCTCATACCTATGAGTATTTTTTTTGTATCAGCAGGTAACACTATATCATTTTGCTGTAAATTAATAGTATTAGTTTTGAGCAGAAGCTAAAGATATGCTTGTGAGTTATTTGTCAGTTGTTAACCATTTTTTTTCTCTGAGTTGAAAACCTAAAAAAGAGTAGGTTGAATTGTTTAAGTAAAATTGGGGAAAGATTTAGGCTCTAGAAAGGCTCTTTAAGTATATGACCCGTGACTTAGTCTGTCAGAGCAGGATATTCCATGATGGTTTATTTCAGGGCTGCTGAAAATGTGGAATAGCCTTGAATTCCAGCTGGCATAATGAAAGGATCAGATTTTTCTGTTCTGTTAATAAACATTAAGACAAAAATTTAACTTTTATAATTTATTTCAGGATTCCAAAAACTTACAAGTACTCAGTTACTTTACTATTCTTTTTAAGCAAGTCTCAAAGTGGGATTAATTGTCTGTAACTATCACAACTGCTCTAAAAATCAGTAGCAGAGGAGGGAAGGTCCCTTTCAGCATGAGCCTGATACAACTGCTACCTGATGTCTTGAGTGGACTGTATGTGTGCTCAGCCTGAAGCACAGACTTCAGGAAAATAATCACATAATGTTAGTGCAGTTATTTCCTGATTTTATTTAGATAATTTTCATCTAATTCCAGTTTCATTTGAAAAAGTTATTTTAATTTTTAAGGAACAGGTGTAATTACTAACGATGAAGCTGGAAGATAGTTTCTTTTTAGTGAAGCTCTGTGTGTTACCCAACCTTTTGAATAATGTTTCAAGTTTAAAGAAAACTTTAAATTACAGAAATAATACTTTGATATTTGTACTTCTCTTCATAAGCAAAGCTTCCAAGAGTATTTTGGTAGCCTGATAGTGCATCAGAGATGAGGTAGTCAAGACAAAAAAATTTTGCCTTCCATTCTTTATTATATAAAAAAAAAAAAAAAAAAAAAAAACCACACAACAAACATTGCTTTCCTTTATTGCTTGTGATAAAATCTTCAGCTCAGGTCTAAAAGATATTTAGTTTAGGTGAACAGGAAGAACTGTGTGCAGAAATAAAAAATATATATGCATTCTATTGAAATGAATAAATTAACTCAACAGTCAGAATCCAGTATAACTGTTAAGCAGTTATTACTTGCTAACAGTGCTGGGGTCACCCTGGGGATTCTCCACCATAAGGGCTCCCCAGAACTAGCAAGGGAATTCAGTTTACATACAAATCATACATATCCATTAGATTTCCTGGGGTGTCTTATGATAATGAGTTCCTGAAATTCATTTACATAGTCCGAGCATGCGTAGTAAAAATAGAGTGAGGGTCTTTGGTGGTCAAGGGAAGAAGTACGTGGTCTTCTTCATGGTGTCTGCTCTTTCCGGAGCATGCACTGTGAAGTCTGGAGGTCTTCTTCCTAACTCGGTGAGACCATCCTCCCTAGATGGTATCTCTGTGTCCTTTTGTTCGAGTCCCCCTTATCTTAGTTTGCCCAAGTGCCCACTGAAGGCTTTGAGTCTGCTATCGATGAGTTATATAGGGAGCGTTTTACTTTTGTCTAAACGGACAGAAGCCATGGGAAAACAGTTGAGTTCTTGGTAAACAAAACACAAGCAAAACTTCATGTATCACACTTCAGTCTTAATCATAAATTCATTGGTTTGAGCCCTTTCACTATAGAACTTTCTAGTATGACCAGACTTCCAACAGGTTTCACTGTAAAATCAGTCTTTTGCAGAAAGCAGTATCTGTGTTCCTGACATTGAGTTGATTTTAGTAGTGTGGTTTTTTAAATTAGAAGGGAAGTGGGATTCTAAATTATACTTGCTGAGTGAAAAATGAGATATTCCATTTAAATTGTCTTGATTACAAGTAAAATCTCAATGAGATCAGTACAGCTGATGAATAAAAGCAATCTGTGATTCCAGATATCAGTCCATGTAACTGGAGTCCTGAGACAACAAGTTTTTACAGCTCAGAGTCACAGATACTCAAATAGTTTCTCAGATGGTCTCAGCCTGGAAATGTATCATTCTCCCCATTCTATTATAACTGCAAACACTATGGGAATGAGGTAAACAGTCCACTGATAAAATGACTTGTGTAAGATTAGAAATCAGAGGGCGTTCCCATTATAGATGTGAAGTGTTGTAAAGTAAGTTCTTAACAAAATGTTAACATTGAAATATTCTAAACTATTAATTTAGGCAATTATGTTCTTTCCTGATGTACTTACTCAAATCAATTGTTTAAATTGCAATTAACTTTATTAAGGAGAAGGATAACACAAATCATGCCAAAGAACTCCACTAAATAGGGATGAAGACTTCATATGCAAATGATTTACCAACTAAACTACTTATTGAACATGTATTAAGCATTTTTGATGTGTGAAATATTACTGGAAATGCATTTCCTGTATTTTTCTTAATTTATATAAATTAAGTGTTCGAGCACAGGGTAATTTTAGTGCTGACTTTCTTTAATATCTTACAGGAAGCTTCAAAAGATGGTGCATGACATCAAGAAAAATGAAAGTGGGATAATAAACAAGTTCAAAAAGTAAGTTTGAAATGCCAGTCCTAATTTTATCAATTTGGGGTAGTTCAGATTGCTAACATAGTGTATAGTACTTCAGTGATAGGACCATGTTGTTCTAGAGAGATGTACTTCAGCATACGTAAAGAGCTTGAGTTCAGACCATATTTGGGTAAATGCATTTTTCTTTTGAGAATTATCATTGCTTGTTGTTTGGATGTGTGCCTTTCTTCTCAGGCCACTGTTTAGGCTACCTGCTGCAATTAAGGTTTAATTTGAGCTCCACCTTGAACCAACTGGTCAGACTTCATAGCATTTTTATGGGAATTCTGACTAAGTCCTCCTGTGTTTCAGTCCCATAAAACAAAACCCACCATTACCGAACATCCTTATTCCAGTAAGAAGCACTAAACACATGCATATTGATGTCGTGCATATGAGTATCATAAAATATTCATGGATATTTATACATAGAAAGAAATTCCAGTAATTCTGCATCCTTGTCAAATGAATACACTATTCACTATTTCCAGTCAAACATCTATTTAAACCAATTAGCTATTTAGCACACTTTCTCTCATTCTTAATGCAATAGCTCATTTGCATTGCACTTTATTTGGATGCGATTTTCTCATTCAGATGTCTTTCTTTACATGGGCCACTGACGACAAAAGTACTAAGTACTTTTTAGAAGTTAATTAGTACACAGTATCTGCAATGTTTCCAGGACGACCTTATTAAATTCTAGAAATACAGCTCTCGTGCATAAAATGCACATGCAAACATTGTTTACAATTGTTCTTAAAGAGTGACCATGATGGCTCAGTTCAAGGAAGAGAAAAAGTAAGATTTTAGCAGAGCTAATTCTTGGTATATACAAAGCGATCAGTAGGGCTGGTGGGAGAAGCAGTAGGGCTCTGCCTGGTTTGGCTCTGCAAGAGCTCTGGAAAGCGGAGCTGGCTCAGCTGTCGCCCCTGCTGCCAGCCATGGCAGGGCTGGTGCTGCGGGGGGCAGTTGCTGTACCTGGCAGAGGAGGGGGATACGCTTCTAGGAACGGCAGCGACCACCTGGCTCTCCCACTGCCCAGGCAAGAGGTGTAACCTTAGGCTGAAGGCCCTCTTTTGTGGCCTTTTTATCACAGCTGTGTTTCTGTCCACAAACCTTGAGCAGGCTCTATTGGTATCACCTGATATATCAGATTCTTGAGATCACTGTTTTCCTTTACTCATCCTCTTTCACTCTAGCACTGCTGCAGTTTGCAGTAAATCAGTCATGTGGTATATGTACTTGTTATTTTCATGCAAGTGCAAAAGCAAACTTTCCCTTAAAAGGATCCTCTTTCAACTGCTTGGACATTTAATTTAATCTAAGCATGTTTTTGTTTTTAACACAGTGTATATGTAAATAGACCACTGTGTTCAGAGATCAGTCTGAAAAAAATGTTTCACCTGGGACCTGCTCACAGGGAAGAGCTTCTAGGCTGTCAAGGCTTTTGGTGGGTTTGTTTTGGGGGGTGAGGGGGACTGGTTTTTTTAGTTGTTGCTTTTTAATAAAGGGTGGCTTCCTACTTCACAGTAGTAGTTTAAGTGTAGTTAATAATGTTGCAGTGGGTCCAGTTCAAATGCCTCAGACAGGAAAGCAGATGGCAGAAACAATAGAAGCATCTCAAGTTTATAATTCAAGGCAACAAATTGTATCCCATAGTTGCCTGGACATGGATTCTGCCGTTAACCAGTATTGCTCTGACTGTGTGTCCTTCACTGAGAGTAAGAGAGGAAAGACAGACAAGGGAAAAATAACAAGAACTAAATGTAGCCAAAGCTGGGAAGGTCAAAGGTGCCATCATTAAATGTCAGATACAAGATTGCTGCTATAACACTGCAATTCTTTGATTCTGTCAAGATTTAAAAAGAAAAAAAAAAAAAGAGCAGGCTCATAAGAACCCTCCTAATGTATGACTGCAGCACAAATCTCACATATCACCTCCAGCTACAAGAATACAAACTGAGATGTAAAAAATAATACAAGTAATAGAAATATCAGGAAGTCTATGGTTCATCTGAGTCATAATAATCTCTTCTACAACTATGAAGATCAGAATTTTACTCTTTTTTAAAAAAAATAAAGATTCTCACATTTGAACAACTTCAGAAATCAAATCTTGAACTCAGCATATGAGACTTGCAATAAAAGCATGTGTTGACAACACTGATAAGGATATGTACAAGACATGCCAAACTTTGCAGAACTAGAACGGGCTGTATTCCTCTGAATGTGCCCTCTGGGGACTTTTTGTTTGATTTTTTTTTTAGATGTTTTTCCTAAAAAATGTGATTATCCAGTTGATCACTTCCTTTATTTCAGTTAAAGGATTATTGTATTAAATGTCAAGGATCCAAGTATGGCTGAAGCAGGAAAAATTGTATAAAAAATCAGTTTTATGTAGCACAGATTTGGAATTTGTCTGTATTCTGGAAAAACTATCATTTTGACTCAAATTCAAACCTGTTAAAATAATTTTAGAGAAGTCAAATAATGTACTTGTTTATCCCTAGCCTAAAGTTGTCAAACATATGTATACCGTAAGCTTCTGCTACTGAAATGGAAAGAATGATCAAATACTTCTGAAATACATTTGACTTATTACCAATATTTACTAGGACCTTTCTAAAATCTGAATTGGCTCTTGATTATGCAGAAAAGTAAGCAAAGTTCTTTCATCAAGGGTCTTGCTTTCCAATCTGGTTCATCTGTGGGTTGTAGGTGGGGAGGGATACATCTACCATCCATGTGTGTCTTAAAGGTCAGCAGAAAGCAGTCTGAACAGTGATAGTAACAGGAAAGAAAACAACAGATTGTTTCATCATTGCTTAAAAGTTCCTGTTGCTTATTTCCTATCCTGTCTCAAAATATTGTGACAGTAGAAATATTGCCCACTGCAGGATAGCATTCACCTGCTTGCCCTTAATCACATGAAAAAACTGTTTGCAATATGGGAGTCCCAGCTGCTGTGCAGATCATGATGTCAAAGAGGATTATGTACTCAGGTGTAGAAACAATAGGTGTAGTCAAATTTGTATAAAGCTGAGGGCATTTTTTTCATATTTACATCTTGCTAATACAGGACAGGGATTGTAAGAGAGAAATCATAGGTTTCACGCTTCAGGATGGTTGCCTGTACTTGAAACACACTGTAAGGACGTAGCACTCTTCTGTAAATTATAAGCTTTAACCCTCTAGGCTTTGTTCACTGGAATCCTAGCTCCATCAAAGTCAATGCTAAAAGTCACGGCACATACAGCAAAGTCAGGACTTTACCCTAAAGATTTGATACATGCTGACCTACCATGTTGAATAAGACTAGAATTTCAAGTTACTCACCATGTTGCAATATCACATCCTATCAAAACTTCCTTTGCAAAGCCATCAGAAATCATGCACTTGTAGTTATTCGTCTAACTGCACACAATCTAAATATGTCCATTTCTTGAAATCGCATTTTCCATGTGACCTGAAAAATGGAAAGAAGATGCATCGTAATCTCATCCACTTTACCCAGCTTTTTAGTGGGTAAATTTTTACTTCAGATTTGTCTGGTCCATTTTTCTATGTGGTTCATTTATAACTTAGGCAGAAAAATGTAGTTGTGTCACTAAATGTCTCTTCAACCTGCATAGCTGCAACTAGAAGACAACCATGATCAAACCATTGGCAGGGGAAAAGTGGTATTTTATGGACCAAATGGTGAGAGAAAAAGTACTAAAATAAAGCTGTACAACACAAGAAACCAGGGAAAAGTATAATACCTACCTTTAACTCTATTCTGAAGAAAGATGATTTTTCAATGTGTAGCTGAATAGAGTGTTTTGAGTGCCAGGACTTTTATTAATATTACAATATTTCATCAAAGTGACAATAAATAAATCACAGCTATATGCCATTTCACAGGCACAACACATTGTAAAGAAAATGTGCAAAAGAGTAGTAATAGCAGGGGGTTTTAGGTTTCAGACCAATTTTACTTTGAACAGTTGTCAGATACTTACAAAGCTTTAACAAACTATTGCACTAGGTCATGAGAATACAGCTCAGGAAAACTTTATCTTTCAGCTGGATTACACCTGTTTGGAACTCTGAAAAAATTTTTGGCAAAGTTTGATTAATTTATCTTCTAATAACAAGTGTGATCTAGTGCACTAATACATACTATACTCAACTCCGTAAAGTTGTCAATATAATATTTGTAGAACCTATTAAGTTAAAATTGTTCCTAAGATGAGAGTGGACTTTGTACAGAATTAACAACAGAAAAAGTAAAGACTCTTGAAAACAAAGAGGTGTTAGGCACATCTTAAATGCTGAGGGAGTGAGCAGAAACAGTAGTAAGGAAATGCGGAAGAATTAAGTGCTACGTGTAAAGGGCTACTACTACATATGTTCGGTTACTTTTGGGTGTAGCTTGTAAAAACAAATGTTACTAGAACAGAAAACTCAGACCTCTACTGCAGTTTACTTCAAAATTCTTCATTTAGTGCAGCAAAACACAAAAATGTGCCATTAACTTGAAGTATGTGATTTAATATTCGCAATTCCTACAGGACTTATTACGTGAGAAGATCTAAGCACATGCCTAAATGTTTTGTTGGGTTAACCTCAGCATGCTATAGGGGGGAAAATCTCCGAATACGTTTTGGTTTTTTTTAATGAAATAGTTTATTCTCTTAAGTTGTTGTGAATTTCTGTACAGCACATTCTGTTTGTGTATAAGCAGCATCTAGACCCCACTACATGTCTCAAATGCCATCTGGGTATTTGTTGAAACTAAAATGTGTATGGTAAGGTATGTTATGTTGCTTTTAAAACCTGTAAACATATTCTCAAAAATGTTCCTGGGTTTTGAGTCCTTTAGAACTGAAATTTCTCAGGAATATTTCAAAATCTCCAGAAAATTACTTTCTGTTAAATTTTAGAAAAATACTAGTCCTATTAAAGTAAATGAAAATCTGAATTATTTGTGTTCTATCTCAGCAAATAAAGAGATACTTTACTAACTGTAACTTAAGTCCAGAGTAGAGTGGCACTAGAATATTTTACTTGAAAATTTCATTTGCTATAATTTTACATAACTGTTAAAAGATATGTAGGAAATCATTCTGTCTTCCACTTAAGTATATATGCTCAGTTGGATGGCATTCCATTCTTTCAGTCCTTTCTCAATATCTTCAGGAGAACAGGACAGTCAGTTGTCACTCTAAGCATCTATGTGGATTGTTAACATCGGAATCAGAAATAGCTAGGTAACTGCTTCTTTGCATAGGGGTCATGTCTTTTGAGCTTTGCATCATGGTTTGCACATTGAGTAAAGTTATGGCTCTTGCAAAGCAAAGCTCCAGTTGACTTCAAAAGAGCCTGCATTTCAGTTCTGGCACTCAGTAAATCATACCAGTACAGTGAGAATTATTTTTTTAACTGAATTTGAATTTTAGAATGAATAACATATTTGAAGAGATTCTAGCAAATGTAGATGTGGCCGTGAACTGGTTCAGCTCTGACAGAAACATTTTTCTTTTCTTCTATTGATATTCAGGTTCCAAAATGAACAAGTGGCCTTAATTTGCAAAACTGGGAAAGATACTTGGGATCGGTATGCTATTTCAAAGCTGCACAATGGCATGATAGGCTGCTTAGACACAGACCTCTGTTCTGTGCTTCATATGCTTTCATTGTAACATATTTACATTTTCCATCCAGGCCACTGCCAGGATTTAAAGGGTGTGGGACAAAGTGTTGCAGTCTTCTGCTTAGCAGGTTGGAAACATCATGTGGCTTAAGCCACATACTTTACACTGTGACCCAGCCAGCCTCTTCTTATTACCTTGGTTCCACTATTTTCCAAGTATCCACTGTCATTCATCATCTCAGGATAGACATGTTGCAAAGTACATTAATAAGTTTTGGTCTACCCTTCCTAAGACCTGGTATCTGCCCTGGCAGTGGCCCTGGGTTTTTCTTCTAACATGCCTGTGCTAACCTGGACAAAAGACAACAGCAGGGGTGTTGAGAATGTTTTTTAATTTACTGTTAGTACACTGTTATATTATGCTCCAGGAAGCTGAAGGCTCAGAGGCAGCTATCCATCATTAGTGTTGTTACTAACGAACAAAGCAGGTAAATACTTCAAAAATAATGTGCCTAGATTTGATTGTCTTTGGTTTGGTTTTCTGGGGGTGGGTTTTTTTGAGTTTTAGCAATGCCTGCACTATTTATTCATGCATGTGCATTTTTTTTTCGTGACTATCTGAACAACAGAATTTCATGAATCCGACTCAAAAGTAGCCAAAGCATTTCAGAACAGATGGGAAAAGTCTGTAGACTGATGTGTTAGTGCCAGCATGCCACCACCCTGAGTTACATTGGTATCTGAACAATAACACCTAAGCAGCATGCTCAGGACCTAAATACTGAGTGTCAAGTTATTGTAGTAAAGCAAAATTTGTAGACATCACTGTTGCTCAGAGATCACAAGAAAAGATTTAAAAAAAAAAAAAAAAGTTGCTTATTCTTGCAAATGTGTTTGTTAGGACCTGATTGAAAAATGAGTGAATCAATTCAGTGGACAAAGGTTCAGGTCCATGGGAGGTCTCATCAGTGCTACAAGGAAGCTGTCAGACAATGTTTAAAAGCCACTTTGAAGAGCCATTTTAATGTAAATTGTGTTAATGTTTTGTATGACTACAAAAAGCAAAGGTTGTTTGTTTTGTTTTTTTTTTCCTCTTCAAATGCATCAGTATGGCCTCTATCACACATGCACCATTTGTTTTGACTTTAAACCCAAATTTTTTTTTTTACAGGGTGGTGAAATAATTGATACATCAACTCACTGCAATTCAGTGTCTTCTCTGGACAGCTGCAATTTAGCAAGCAGGACTATACATATATACACATATATACGTATGAGCAGGAGTAGACATATGTATGTGCATACATATAAATTACATATATTGTATGCTCCTCTTTGCTAAATATATATATATACATGCACATACATATACATGTATATATGTATAGCCACAAGGATCCCTTTAGTATTTGTACAAATTATCTTTTGATACACTTGGCATTACAAATACCTTTACAACAGTATTTACCAAAAAAAGAGCCATAACACCATAAAATAATAGTAAGTGGAATCAGAATCTGGCCCTGAGAGACCTGGTATACATTTAAACATTTATCAGAAAATAAAGTACATGCAAAATGATAGCTCTAAAAATGGGACTGAAGAGTGCTGCACCACTTTCTTATGCCATGGTCTTAGCAGAGCCTCTGTGAACCTGAACAGATTTTCATCTTCAGATAGACATGCATTTATCTCTGACCCCTGTTATCTGTTTCTGCATTGGAAGTGGAGGGTGGGCAGGCAAAGAAGCTGTTCTTTCAAAATACATTCTAGAAAAAAAAATATATCTCAGAGTAGATTCTAATTTCTTATCTGTTTCTAGCATTTCAAAGCCTTTTCCTACAGCTATTTGCTAAGCATCTGTGATGGTAATCTGTATTTCTTCAGCTGCAGGTATCTTGTGTTACCAGCTTTTTTTATGTGTCTGGCACATGCTCCCTTCTAGTGGATGTTACTTTATTAGATCATAAATGTAATAATTATTGTTTACAGGCTAAAAAAAAAACCTCCACCAAGTCTACCACAAAGGGATTATGCTTCAGGTAAGGCTGTATTAATGTAAACTTTAACTTCATGTATGTATTTTTGATATGCCTAACAATATTTCAGCTATACATTTCTTCATAATTTGTTTTTAATGAGAGAATAGTGTACACTTATCAACAACTCTGAAGGTAGCTCACATCTCTGAGAGTCATGCAAAACATGACAAGTTATCCTAGTATGAAGAAAGAAGTAGCAAGTAGCTACTCTTGAAATCCATATTTATCAGGGTTCAGCACGTAGGCTGCTCTAAAAATGGAGAATTCACATCCAGTCCATCTCTGCCAGAAATTATGATGTGAAAGTAAATAGGGAAATAAGTGAACAAATGGATCATCACAGATTCAGAATCTTAATACTGAAGAATTGGCGTGACAATGATGATAATATGAATTATCTTAGAGGTAGAACTATACTTACTTATCACACAGCACTGCCCACAAACTAGTTCATGATTGTTTTTACAAGTTAACGGCTATCTTGTTAAGGAAACAATGATAGGAAAACTGAAGCAAAGACGACAGGGTTTGGAAGTTATCAGATAATTGTTCCAAGTTTAATGTAAACACTTGTAATTAGTGTGATGTCTTCGAGCTTTAACTGAAAAACAAGAAAGTGCAAGGCCCAGGGGTCAGCGATAGTTGTGTTATGTAGAAATTGTTATTCCTACTGAAAAATGAAATGCATTAGCAGGACATTCTGAGGTAAAGTGCATGCTCTGCTTTTCAGACCATGTGCAGATTGCCATTTTCTCATGCTTTTCCAACAGCTCTGAAAAACAAGCAAGCAGGCATTTAACTATTCAGTCCAAACCAGATGTGTTGCTTTGAACTTTTTAGGAAATTTTAACCACTCCTTTTTTAACTGAATATGATAAGTATAGCTTTGAAAAACCAATCTATGATAAACATTTATGTTCGCTATTCTATCTCCTTAAATAACTCTAATGTTTGGTTTAGAACATGCAGACAATGAAGAGGAACAATGGTCAGATGATTTTGTAAGTACACATTTTGGGGTAGTAAGAGGTTACTGTAGCAACAAGTTAGCACAAACAATAATAATAACAGTTTATTTTTTGAATCGACACTTGTGGTTGAACTTAATACTGTTGAAATGTTACTTTATTTGTTATATCAGCATTATTTACAAGGAGCCACTGATTTTTAGCTATCTCAATTTTTTTACATTCAACTTAAAAGTACAGTCAGAAGCACTGTCAGTGGTAGCTATGGATGCTAAGATTTTTGGAGACGAGTGTGGCATCAATTTGAGGGACTTCTCAAACAGAATAAAATTTCAGAAACCAGTAAGATCATCTATTTAGGGGAGGGAGGGTGGGAGGACTGAGGAGGAGAAAGCCACTTCTGATGAAAATTAACAACTTCTGATAAGATTTTAGAGACCATTAGAATGAAGCAAGTACAACCATCAGCCTGAAGTGACTAGTTTCCTTCTGGAGTTAGATCCTGGGTACCTTTTTAATAGGAAAAGGAGAGGAAGTGACAGGACAGTCCAGCTGGACTAGGAAGGAACTATCCTGTGAAGGGAAACAAGCTGTTGGTCCATAATTCAAAGAGTGAGCTCTTGGTGATAGCAAGGAGACAGGGAGCAGGAAGCTCCTCAGAGGAGTAGAAGGGGAGGCAGGCAGGAGTGCATATTTGTGTAGAGAGGGAGCACTAAGAGGCAGTGTAACATGTCCTTTCAAGGATACATTATTGTAATTTAGTTAATTGTACTCCTGCAAGGATATTTGTGTCATATAGTACTATGAAGCTGTATGTTATGAGATAAGAAATTGGAAGTTCTGTCTTTCTAGGACAGTGATTATGAGAATCCAGATGACCACTCTGACTCTGAGATGTATGTGGTCCCCAGTGAAGAGAATCCTGATGACAGCTATGAGCCTCCTCCAAGTGAGCAGGAGAAAAAGAAGATTCCCTCTGCATTCCCTATTTCTAGGGGTGAATATGCAGGTAGTTATAGAATAATTGACTATATCAGCTTGATAATTGCCTATTTATCAGTACCAGAAGAGAGATGGCCTTAAGTGGACTAACCTGTTCTTTCCTCAAGAGTTTGCATTTAATTCTGGCAATCAGGTCTTCAGTTTTCAGGGGTATGATTTGTTATTACAGCATGAAATGGGTTGGTATTGCTGGTAACAATGTCTAGAATTTTAATATAACGTGTCCTAAAGACTTTGATAAACACCTAACTTCAAAATTCAAACAGAGGTATGGAGATGTCACTAACTTGGCTCCAGATTCATCCACATATTTTAATGCAGAAATTTGTATTGAAGATTAAGTATGTAAGGCTGGACAGGTCCCTTCTTAATCTTTTCTTCATATCAAATCATTATTCCAGAAGCAGTGAAATGGAGGACAAAGCATCCCAAATATTCACTCCATGTTGTTGTCCTTCAAGTTTGGTACTGTGGAGGATAAATATCCTGAAACACAGGACAGGATCAAGATTTTATTTACATCAGTCCAGTATAAAGGTGTTCTTACTTCCTGTTTTGATTCTTTTCAACCATGTGCAGATTATACTGAAGTAAACTAAATTTAGCCTCAGTTAGATGAAGATTTGAGCCATGGGGAAAAGAAACATTGGTATGATACCTGCTTTCATTTTTGTATGATACAAGACTGGTTATAGAATAATCATCGAAGTGCTAAAGTGCTACATGTGTACTCACAGAAATTTATTAGCACTTCATCTGTATGTTCTTTGAAAAAGAGAGGAATTTTTAAAATGACACCCCAGAGGACTTGGCATAATTTGTGTTTCAGTCCCACCCTTTGTGCTGTGTAACAGTTGATTTTCTTATGTGTCAGGTATGTTCTTTTGCGCTTCCTATCACCAAAGTTCATACTGGCACAGGACATACTAAATAATGGAGTACACCACCCAGACACCACCTTTTCCCCACTGAGTTAAACAGCTGTTCATACAACAGTCAGTGTCTATGCACCCTCTGCAGCCTGATACAGAGGACTAGGTTGCTACCCTGAGCAATGAAATAGGCCACACAAGTTTACACACAACTATCAACATCTGGACCAGCATACACTCAGGTCTGCCTGAGCTGCAGCCACAGTAAAGACTTGTTTACACAGGTAATAGAAGACAGTTCAGAGGCTAATATCTAATTTTTACTACAATTGTTGTTTTCTTCCATATTAAAAGACAATCGTGGTAGTCACCAGCAGCTTCCTCCCATCAACAAACCTCTGCCAAGTACACCCAGTCCAGCCATGTCGAGACCGAAGAAACCATCCGTGCCATCCCTGCCGTTGCCATCTCCTGCTGCAAAGCCAAAAGTACCGCTGAAGCCGAAGGAGTGTAGCGATGATGAGGTAATGTTTATAGATATACCTGTTTTGACAGTTTAAATGACTGATGAACCCGCACCAGTTATAAGATAGAATGCACAGCAATACCACAGCCTGGTTGCTTTCTTAGTATGGTACAAATACTATTAGTATGGTATGTATCACAAGCAGTGACCTGAAAGTACTATGCTGATTCCTAGAGGATACCTGCCTACTTTGAGTATCAAGGAGGCTCTGTAGACTACAGAATATTTTCTGTTCATCTGTAACAATCTGTGGGCAGTGGGGAGAGAGCAACCTCAAAGGCTACCCCAGGACCAAAGGGAAGGGAGGGCTTTTAGCCACCAGTCTAGAACTGGAGTAATTTGGTAAAGGGTTTTCATTCTTGGGGAATCCCATCTGTGTTGGATGATAAATGTCTGAAATAGCAGTCACTGTGAAACAGCAACTATTGTAAACTGCTGCCAGGGCTTCAGTCCCAACAGTTTGTTGATACAATGGAGGTTTAACTGGTAGATTTTTGTCCTGCATTTTTCATAGGATAATTACATTGTGCCAGTGGACAATGACGACGATAACTATATTGAACCCACAGAAAGCAGCATGTCACTACCTACAAGATGTGAGTTTTAGTCATTTAAGTTAATAAATTAAGTTAATAATCATTGCCTTGTTAGGAACAACAGTGGAAAAAAAAATTAATGTCTGTTTCTAGGGTTCAAAGAGTGGAGGTGCAGCTATTAAAGAGAATACAGCCTGCAAAAAAACAGTTGGCTTCTTTGGCCCATGACAAGGCCAAAGAAAATTATTTTTAACTTTATTGGAAGCCATATTTAATTCCTGCTTCTCTCACTCAGCTGTTTCAAAGTCCAGCCCTTGTAGAACCAGGAAGCTTTTCATGGTATATGATCTCCCTCCTCATCCTAAGGAGCCAAAGCATTAAAATTTTCTGTTTGCTGAAGTGCCTCAGGAGAACAACAAGCATTTTTAGATTTTCAATTGATAAACAGACTTTGATTCTTTATTTTTACCTCACTGTTTGAAGTAAATTTAGCTGGAGAGTGAAGCTACTACTACAGTCCAAAGGTGAAAAGTAAATAGAGAAGAGTAGGTAGGTCTGCTCTGTGACATTACTGACAGTATCAAACCTATTCATCAAGGCATGAACACTGAATAATGTTTCCCTTTTAAAATGTGATCTGCTCAGTTGATTTGTTCAAGGTCACACAAAAAGGCTATGACTTGGACCTGCTTAATATTCTTATTCTATAACTGTTACACTGTTAGTTTTTTAATCCATATGTGTATGTATATGTGTGTATATACACACACATGCACAGATATATACGAATAAAATATGGTTTTAGCTCCTGTGAACAGATTTATGAAGACAACAAAGTCAGTCCTCCCTACCTCTCCAAAGCCATCTCTTCCTTCTGATTTGCAAGGTACGTGGAGTTTGCATCACTGTTAAAATAAAGGAATCTAAGATTGAGGAATATTAAATTACACTTGATGTATTCACAACACAAACCATATGACATACTTCAGAAAAACAAAAATATGTTCCCTTTTGGTTTTTCTGTGTTGTAGTGGTTGTTTTGCTTGGCTTGAATAGTGTATCTGTTTTAAGCTTGAATAAAACTAGAACAAATAATTTACCCCAAACTAACTTATTTTTAGTCTTTTGCTCTAGCAGAGTCCAAATGTATCAATACAGGAAAAACAATTATAGGACTTGGTATGTTAGTAATCCCATTTCACTGTAGGAATCAAGATTCAGTACTTTAAAACCACATCAAGATTCAACCTTAAAGAAATTCTGTATGCTTTGCATGTCCGGTGATAAGTGTTCCCATTTAAGCTCTATAAAGAGCAATTTATTTGGAAAAAGAAACAAAAGCAGAAGCAAATAAGAAAAATCATATTTGCTTTTGTAAGTGCAGATATAGTTGCTTAATCTTCCCTAGCTGTGCTAACTCTGAGTTGTTTTGCATCCTTATCTCATTAATTGCTTGGAATGTAACCTTTACAGACTGATCACACAGTTCTTTAAAAGTCTTTGCATATTCATTAGCGATGTGTTTAGCTTTCAAGTCGTAAACTACATAAGTTTTTTCTGAATGACTTAAGATTTTGTGAGTTACTTTTCAGACCTTTTTAAATGTCCTTTTCAATCATAGCCCTTCTGCAAATCAGTGTTGAGCAACAACCATCTCCTGACCGATGTTACTAAAAAAAATAAAACATCTCCCCCTGGTGGGAACTCGGACACTTTGTCAGCGCAATAAAAGCGATTGAAGCCTGACATGAGCTTTGTTTAAATATGATTCATTTGTCACTCAGAATGGCATAGATAAGGATGCTGGTGGTTTTGGCTTTTTAATGTATGTGAATTAAAATACACCTATTGGGACAGAGCTCAGGGATGGATGCTGGCCATGCAAATAAGCCAGCCTGTATTTATGATTCACCTGATCTCTTCCTCCCTGAGAGTCAAGGCTGAATGCTACCACAGGTATGATAACACATCTTGTGCAAACCTGGGACAGTTTGGAAAACACAAGCATTCTTTTTTTCTTTGAGGGTGGGATTAAAAAACAACAAAGAAAAGCTTGTGGGGTGGGGGGAAGGTTCATTAATACAGTGACTGTTTATCAGACTTCCCAGGACTTTTCCTGAAGACCAGGGATGTAGCTACCCCAGGGTTTTTGAATCAGAACAAAGCTCTGAGCAGATTCTCCAACTTATTTTTCCAGAAGCAGAAGTACAATTGATTCAAATTCTGATCAGTTTTTCTGGTAATATGCAGTACATTTTTTGCTAATCAAAGAATATATATTTTTCCTCCCTGTCCTACAGAAGTCTACGAGGTTCCTGAAGAAGAGGTAAGGCCTTTCTATAGTCTATAAACTCACATTGTCCTCAGGTAGGGCACAAATGTGATTGTGAAAGAAGATGATCCCATTTTCAAAGGGGAAAAAATGGGAACTCTGTTTTCACAGAAGACCTGCTGCTGCTTCCTTCACGGAAAAGCAGGCAAGCCAATTCAAAAGGTCTGCACATCAGAGTAAATGGGAAGGGGCTGATGTTTCCCAGTCCTATGTGATAGTGAGCTGGTCTGGGAAGCAGCAGCCTAAGGGAATGTTTTCCAGAAGCAGACCTGCAGCAAAGGAGCAATGACAGTTCTGACACAGTAATTTTCTTCCCACTGCTGGTACTGACATGACATATGGCCAAAGCAGTGTGCTAAGGGCTTCAGAGATTTACTGGTGGTGCCACTCCCATCCTAGTGCAGATTACCAGGCAGAGCTCTAGTAGAAATCTATACCACAACACAGAAATAAGATACTGCTGTGATAACATAAATAGAATCATACAAATATGTTTTACTAAATCAAGAAGTGACCAAATAATTCACTGCCTTCTCTCTTACAGGAAAAACCATCACCACCACCGGTAACCAGGTAACCCATTGCTATGGATGTTTGTGCATGCTTTAAAACATGTCAGAAAATACATTTTCTCACCTAGATACTATATGTTTGATAATGCTCTATCTAGAAGATATACATAGTCATTCCCTAGATTATCTACGCAAAGATTGTCATCCATTTCTATATTAATTTCAATAACCCAAACAATACATATTAAAAGGAAATACCTCTTAAGGGTACTTTTTAGAATTTTGGGGAGGTAGGGGAGGAGAAAGAGAGTGACCTTTGTATTCACTGTTAAATATATTTTTCCTTTCTAAATTCATGTTTTATCATTAGGTTCACTAAACCACTTCTGTCTGTGCCTGCTCAGAATACAGAGCACTCCCACATGCACAGCATGACCAGAGAGTCACCTAAGCTGGATACTTCCAGGTAAGTCAACAGCAGCTTATATCAATAGGAAATACTAGCAGAAACAATTTTCTCCTCTTTATCGTGTAGCCTTCAGACAGTAAGCACTTGTCAGGACACACAAATAGCTAGGGATATTGGGGCAAGGTAAGAATTGAAAGTTCTTATTTCCTTACAAAATTTTGTATTCAAGCTAGTTTGCTAAATGGGTACTGTTTTCTTGAAGGTCCCTTTAGGGATCCAGTGCAGGGGTAAAACATCTCTGCAAGCCAGTTTAAAGTCCTGTTACCCGTTTCTGTACCCTTGCAAATGAGGTGTTTTTGTAGGGGGTGGGGCACAGGATTGCTTGTAAAGAAACTGGACACAGTAAATCGATGATTTATATGCCAAGTCTCTGGAGGAAAAGAGGCAAAGGAAACTTGAGTCTGCAGCCTATTTCACTCCTGTGTCCCTAGAAGTGTAGGAAGCTGCTTCATAACCACTGTCTCATCCTTAGGACATTGCTCTACAAAAGAGGCCATATGTCCCAGGAAGAGCAGGTAGCATCCACAACACTGTGTTACAGTGTATGGTGAGGTCCTGTGCACAGCTGCAAGGGGCCCAAGGTCCAGGACAGAAGCTCTTCTAGAGTAGTTCCACACTAAGGGCACAGCATCACAACCACTGCAACAGTGCATCGCTACAATTAAATCCATTTACTGCAGACCTCCTCCTCTCTAGATCTTGAAATGCTTATCTGAGCCAAGCAATTAAATAAGTAAATCCTACTCATCTTAACTTATCGTGTATATTTTCCAGAAATATTTTGCCTCTTCCCAGAAATCGTCTTCATCCAAAACCAGTGAGTAATGTGCCGCTATAAAAGAAAATGTTGAACTTAGGCTGCTTTGTGTTTTATATATATAAATAGATGGATGCTTTTTATTATCTGTTCTGTATTATAACAGAAGCAGATGACTCTGAATGTCAGATTGATCTAATATTGTAACTGTGGCTATTAATCTTTTGGACAAAAAAGGTACATTGGACATCTGTATTGATCCAAGAAAAGACTTCAGATGTTTTGAGGGATATTTGTCTCAGTCCACAAAAATAATTTATTATACTAAAAAATACCAGATGAACTCCAGGAACCTTACTTTTGGTAGCAGTGGGTGATTTTGCACAATCTGAAGCATCCTTGAGTCTCAGTCCTCTCAGATGATGAATGATTAATACTTTCTGAAAATGGAATCCTTCTAAAATGTCAGGCTGTAGTCTGAGCAACCAGTATCACTATGAAATGCAGTCCATGAAGCAGTAATTACAGGCTTTGAGCTCCTAAGACTGTTTTTAAGTTATTCCTCTTCTTCCTCTACTCTTGTCCCAGTCTGTCCCTTCCATGGTACTGGAACAAAAAAAAAAAAAAAAAAAAAAAAAAAAAAAAAAAAAAAAAAAAAAAAAAAAAAGCATAAATAGTTCTTTTTCAGCCAGATTAGTTCCATAAATTGTTCTGTATCATAGCTCTAGTAACAGTTGTGCCAGCACAAGAGAAGGGTGCACTTGAAGAAGCAAGAAACAGGGTGACAGTAACTGCATCGGCATCTGTGCCAAAAGCTGTGTGCATCAGACTCTGTCCCAGCTCAATGCTCTGAATTGTGCTTAAGAAATAATGTCCACCAATAACTACACAGAGAAATTAGACTCTAAAATTTAGGAATTTGGGGTCCATAGCATTAGATTTTACAGTAACATAATGCAGGAGGTATAAAAACATCTTATAGTCTTACTTTCAATCCTTGAATTTCTAGATATACCAAGTATTTATGTTGGGGTTTTTGCACACCTCTGCATTCAACAGCAGCAGCATTTTAGTTTCCCTTTCACCTCATCACAACGTTCTTTCTTAGATCTGTATCCTGTAAGATGCTGAACAATTCCTGAGTGATGCCAAGTCCAGGATTTCTCTTTTTTTTTGAAATGGCTTGATTTCTCAGCTTTTTTTTAGCAATATACTGTTAGGGGGAAAAAAAAAAAGACAAAAAACCCCAACAAACAAAAAACCCAAAGAAATGAACAAACAAAAACCCGCCACGCACAATAAAAACCAAAACAGTTTAGCACAAGAGCCAGCCTAGTAAAAAATTACCCAGTGTTGTCCAAATTTGAGTCTTTCCTTGTTGTAGAAGTTGCCAGCCATTACAGTTTTAAAGAAAAACATGGTAAGCAGCATCATGGCTGTCCAGTGCTGTTTTGTGCCTTTCCATCTCTGACTATGCACACTGACAAAGCAAAACGATAATTGAAACATCTCTTAACTGCTCCCATTCATTACATTCTCGACACTAATCAGCCATGATCATGTTAACAGAACTGCAACCCTTGTTCCTCTCAAAGGCCTGGGCTGACTAGGAGAAAAATTTCTCCAGATCTCACGCGCTCAACTGTTGGATGATGGGTTACACCTCTCCAACCAGAGAATGGATGCATTTGTGACCTACATTAGTGAAAAGCTATTAACCCAATGGATGAAGATGGACAAATTAATAACTGGTTCCTCTTTGAAAGATACTTATCAAATGGGAGTCTGATTCCCTAAAAGACAAGTGGGAACCGAAAGCAAGCATCTCCAAAAGAAGCTGTGAAATGAGTTGGATTGCTTCAACTCTAGTATGGTTAAAAAACAGTCTACTCGGTATCCTCTGAGTGGAAGATGTGTTCTTGGTATATTCAAATGTGCTGCAAAATTCCTGCTTTCCAGCTTGGAAATGAAATGTGAACCAAAAGGTCTTGCTGCAAAGTTCCAGGTCAGTTTTCTCAATACTACAGGCAGTCTCGAGGTTAATGGAATGTTCAAAATTAGATTGTGGTTTGCTAAAACTTTTCAAATGCTGTCGTAAAGGCTGTTGAAAAGTGGATACTATATGCATCCATACAAATATTTCTTTAAACATTACTACAGATCACCAAGACCAGATTATTTATTTATATACTTTCCATTTAATAATAATTCTTTATTTAATTGCTTCTTATCAAATATAATGTATTTTTCCATTACAGGACCATGAAACAAACAATAATGATGAAAGTAAGTATTCTCTACTGAAAACATAGCAATATGAGAGGGATTTATTGTTAATATGTCACTAGTGACCTTAATATACCATATAGTAGAGTATGTCAGTGTAAATTTTATCTTTAACAGTCAGCACTAAGCAAGAAATATTACTGAACTGTTTTCTAGTATAATCAGCCTGAAAACACATTAAGACAAAAATTTTAAATAATGGATTTTTACTTTTACTACATTAACATTGAAATGGCAGTGAGGAAACTCCACTGTTCAGATACGGCTTATATTGCATACTGAATATGTTGTTTCCATCTCTAGATCATAGCTTCAATAGCACACAAGAATCCAGATTTCCCACTGGAGCAGCCCCATCTCCACTACCAAGGGGCCTGTGAGTAAAAAAATAATAAAACTACTTTGGGGATGGGGTTAATAGGTGTATTCGGAGCTATCCTTGCCTATGGCAATCAGAATTGGGGAGTAATTTTTATTGCGGATCACGAAAGATACTCTGAATAGGTAAAGGCAAGCTTTTATTTTGTTATTTCTGGAGTAATGCTGTTTGAATGTCAGTAGCTTTGCCCTTCACTGCCTATCACTGAAGGCAGAGACTCACTGGCTTGCTTATTTTAGTCACGTTCTGCAGCAGTGGCACGTGCATGCCTATAAATGCAGGAAGTTATGTTTTTCATTAAAACTCTTCTGCCCAACCCAAATTGTCATCTTAAATATTGGACAGAATGTAGCTTCCTTGCATATCATAAGTACCTTTACGAGTACCCGTGCTACATCTGATACCCCACACCTCAACTGCTACAGCTGTCCAGTAACGGTATCACATCTTGGCCAGAAATATCTTGGGAATCAATGAACGTGATGCTTAGTTGCTAAATGAATTCACATATTCTTTTTCCTCCAACCTGCAGAAAGAAAACTTCTAATGCAGTAAATTCACCAGTAAGTTGACTTGTATAATCAAACTATAATTTTACAGGTGATTTTTTAATTTATTGTAAAACTTAGGTTTTTATCGTTTGTTTGGGTACAATATAAATGCATAAAAGTATAGGGGACAGGCTTATAAAAGAAAGGAAATATTTGGGTGCTGTTATGTGAACTAAGCAGCAGTGAGAAAGCTCACGTAGAAAAATATTTTGATTAAAGGGATATTTGGACTCAATAGGATGTAACAATGAAACAGTGCAAGAACTGAATAAAGTGAGAAATGGGAACACAGGCCATTCAGAAGTACTCCCTGAAATACACAGGGCTGCATATGGGGAACATGGATTTATTGTAAGAGTGATAGCTCAAGAAAGGTGCGGAATTTTACCAGAATTTATTGGAGGCTTTTCACTAAGTATTTCATCATTAGAAAAATATTGCAAAACCTCTTGTGGGAGAAAGTGAGAGAACTGGTTGAAATTTTAAAAGAAATTAATTTGCAAAATGTTTTGAAACTGACAGTTTATGATCTTTGTTTCAAAATGAAAAAAAATGAAACTGGAAGGTTGGGTGAGTTTTACTGTGAGCTAAACTGACAGTTTAACTTTCAGTAAAAACAAATGTGTTCAGACATTTGTGAGCATAGCTTGACAAAGATGAAAATACTGAAATTTTTGATTCGCAAGTATTTGGGATGGACGTTTCATTTTTTTTGACTTGTGATAAGAATGAACCATTTGTTAAAAAAAAAAAAAAAAAAAAAAAAAAAAAAAGCTTGCGTTTCTCTAGATTTTACTTCTGTCCATCTATTTATACACACAAACTGGGATTCTTTCCAGATCTACTTTACAAAATCCCAGGCTTCAAGGTCATACAACTAGGCTCTTCACAGAATGGCCATGTAGCTACTGCCTAATGCCTCCAGGATGCTGTCAATCTTAAATGTAAACTAGTTCACAAAAACTATAAAAATATAAACATTTGCTGTACAAGTGACATGCCATTTAATACTTGATTTCCTTCTGTTTTACTGCAGAAACCATGTTTACCTTCCAGAGAGACCTTACCTGTGAATGAAGGTAAATTATCTCTACTATTGTGAAAAAGTTGTCATTTATCAGAACTTTCATTTTATTAAAAACATGAGACAAACAACACCACATTCAATTTACTCTAGGTTTTTGAGGGGGTTTGGTTTTACCAGTTTCAAACTGGATCTGGCCAGTCTTAGTTGCACTGAGTATCATTGTTCTCTAAAAGCAGTCGCAGTGAAACTGCTGAGGTTACTGGCAGGGTAACACACCACATCATGGACCAGCAGTGTGCCATACAGGCCTCTGACGTGGGGAAGGGAGGCGAAGCGCGTGCATCATGGAGAACTCAGCCAGAACCACCTCACACGGAGGCGACTCCTGGCAAGAGGCAGAAAATGCATCTCCCCTCTGTGCAGGCGGCAGCTCCTCCGGGCAAAAACCCAGCAGGAGCTGCCGTGTAACGCGAGGGTAGGGTGCGGGCGGCCGGCAGCTCTGGCCGGCAGCCTGCCCAGCGTGCTCCCCGCGCTCACCCCGCTGCCGCTCGGAAGGCCAGTCTCCCGCTGGCTCCTGCAGGCGCTCACAGCGCCGGCTGTTTGCCTAGAAATTTGGTGGTATGCCACTAGTTAATAAAGAAAGCAGCAGCTTGCCAAGCTGCCATGTAAGGAAAAACCCCCAAAGTTACAATAATAAAAGAAACCCTCCTTCTACTACTGGGACTCTCTTACCTGGGGACAACATATTTCTGAAGAAACCTTGACTCTACAATTTGTTTTCCCAGCTACAGAAAAACCTACAGCAGCAGAACGACGACGAGGTTCAAGCCAAGAGCTTCCGCTTCCACCCCTTCCAAGTGGTTCCCAAAAGTAAAATCTCTTTTCATCATCTTTTGAATATTTCAGTGCACCAGCTCCTAGTGCTCAGTCTTAACACAGCTGTTAGAAGTTCAAAGGGGAGCACTGTCTTCTCTGTATCCTTCTGTTGCCTTTTGAAAGTCATGTTTCTTGAAGCCTCACAGTAGCAAAAAATAAAACACAGGAAATGCATCCAAATACTATCACCACCACCAAAAAGCATGGGAGGATATAATTGCTAGGTGATGAAATTTAAACCAGAAGTACTAGTGCAATAGGACTTTTTTTAAATACCTGTATCTGGCCCTTATTTGTCAATGGACAGATGGATGAGATGGAACATGTTCTACCACTGCATGCTTCAAATACATAATTTTAATATTTTCAGATCTCCTCAGACCTTTCTGTAATCTATTGATATTTATTTCAGGCCTCTGCTCCAAAAGTCCTCAATTCTGCCAAGTAAGTATAATCCAGATTATGAATTAAAATGCAATTAATTTGTCATTTCAAATTAATATTTGAATTAATATTATCTCAAGATGCCATGCATGGAATTAACATTTGTCTCTGTAATGGATACAGAGAGGAGATCAGGTATCCAGTGGGTTAGCTCAGCTAGTAAAATTATGGGAGTGTGTCAGGATTATTGTATAAAATGAAATATGAAAATTGGGTGCTTCATTCCCATTTGTGACTACTGCAGATTTCTACCAAAAGAAGCTTGGGTCAGTTCCCATCACAATAAAGATACCATCAATCTCTGCCACAGAAGAACCCTAAATATGACACTTCTGGGCTGTTCCAGGCTTCTGTTGCCTAGAAGCCAGACAGATTATTATTGCTTCCAGCAATTTATTCTTTCTCTGCAGGGAGGAAAAAAAAAAAAAAAAAGTATTTTTATAATGCAAACACTAAAGCTCTTCTGTAAGTAGTACTTTCAAAGACAGATTTCAGAGTTAAAAATAAATTAGGTAATATCTATATATGAACTCTCTTTGTACAGAAGTGCAAATTAGATCTAATATTTTTCTAGTCTCTTGTTAGCAGACACTTGCAGCCCTTCCTACAATCCTTTTTCTGCACATTTCAGTCTGAGCATATCTTTCCCATTGTAAATGGATGGTGAGAATTGCACGTAGAAATCTGCATTTGGTTTAGCTTAAATTTAGGCAGTGTTATTAGTACTTCTCTCTATTTCCTGGAAATGTTTGCTTGATGTATGTTGCAATTACATCTCCTGTGCTGTGGAAGTATAATAATGGTTCATATTCATGCAATAGACTGTTCCTGTTGCACAACTGATGCGCTTCAACTTGTAGCATAAATTCTCACTAATCCCTGAAATGTAACTATTCTTCAAGGTCATCTGGTGCTAAGTGATGTTGTGATTAGTAAACTTTCTTTAACACACTCTTACTCTGTGCCAGGTCCAATACCAACTTCATCACAGATACAGTTGGTTCTAATCGCTGTTGTCCCTTCAGCATAACCTGCCATCTCTTCCTTGTCACCAAGCTCAAGCCTGGTGCCAACCTTCATCATCTTCATAAAAAGTACTAATTTCCCATATGGCACAGTATTAAATGCTCTACTGAAGTCCAAAGTACAGTATCATATTAATACCCTCTGTAGAACTCTGTTATTTTATGAAAGGTCTGTAACATTTTTACCTACTTGGGTAAATTTCAGATTTTCTCTTTGTAGTTATACCTTTGCCTCCAAATCTTAATGTTCTTTCCTTCAAAGTCTTTCCTAGGCCTTTGTGTTCTGTAGTTGCTCAGGTCACTTTTTCCACTTTAAGTATGGCAATTATGTTTGGTCTTCTTTAATCATATGGCACCACCCTGACTCGAAACTTATTTAAAATAATTGTTACCAGACCTGTAATTTCACGTGCCAGTCTTTAAAATTTCTGGGATAAAGGTTATCTGGGCCCACCAGTTCAATTGCACTAAGGTATTTGAGTTTTGCTTACAGTTTGGTTGTGGAAATTTCCATTTCAGTACCAGAACTACTATTGGTTTACTACCTGGATTATCTTTAAAATCAATAAAATTCTTACTGCAGACAGTCCCATTTCTCTTTCATTTTTGCACAGCTAAGGAATCTCTTATTACTTATTTTAATTTCCTTTTATAAAGTCTAATTCAGCCTGACTTCTGGCAATTCTTACTTTATTCCTAGAATGTAGTTCTCCGCTGTAACTTTTGCAGCTGGTCAGTCAAAATTTGACAGAAAACCCAAAACTCTTAATACTGAATAGCCTTCTTCAGGTGATTATTCATTCATTGAGAGTTGGAACTGCTTCTTATAATGTCTCTGTGTACTTGGAATGCAGCTTCCAGACAGTTGCACCTTTACTACAAAATAAGTTCTAAACCTAATTCACACAGGTATCTTTGACCTCTCCAGTCCAATTCAATTTTTTAATTCTGAGTCACTGTGTGATCACCTCTATAATATTCTTACTGATTTCTGAAATCAAAATCTAAATCAGAATTGTATTAATGAAGATTTGATAAAGCAGTCTGCAAAGTATCATGTCCAGGAATAGGTGAATCCTAAAAATCCTAGTAGTATTCTTTTACCCAGTAAGTAATACCAAGAGCAAATAAAACCTCCCATATTAACAGACTAAGTAACACTCAACTTTCTACAATCATCTTCTCTGGTATCGTGATACTGATCTGTACCCAGCTCTCATCACAAGTACCTAGAACAGACACCTATACTGTCTTTGGCCATGAATCTGTTTCACCAGAAGACAATAACCTATACTTATTTCCCATATTCCTGTCTTGTCAATACTATGCAACACTAGCTAACCATTTCCCTTCTAACTTCTTAAACTCTTCAACATCTGTATTCCAGCCCTAATAGCTTTTTTCTACTGTGATTCGTTATTACAATTACAATTAAGCTTCACAATCTTTCCTACTAGTTCTGCTTCTCTGTTTAGCTGTCTAGACTTCTTGCACACATATACAAACACTTCAGTTGGACTAAATTAGTGAAAAATTACGTCTGAGCTACATTTGTTTTCCTGACTCCCTCACCTATATAACTACTTCTTACACTGGACTGTGCTTTTTTGCATTGTGTTCCTTCGTTCTCTTTATCTGTTGCTACATTGATTCACTTAGGTGGTGGTTGGTTTTTTTTTTCTTGCATTTTAAGTCTAGCTCTGGCTTTTAACCAAGTTATTAACCAAACTGTTATTAACCGAACTGTTTCTCTCCCTATAAGCAAGTCTCCTCTTCAGAGCAGGCAGGTGTCCCAGGCACTTATATAGGGTCCATACATTTACAGTAGAAAGCTTTGCCAAATGATACCAAAGATTTCCAGATCTTCCAAAGTCCTTGTAACAAATTGTTTTCTTACAGCATAACAAATATACTTTGAAAACTTATACGTGTTGTTCTTTCCCTTTTCCAGAAGTGCCAGAAGCTGCAAACCGTTCTCTGGGTACTTCCCCTCACATCAGCATTTCATCTAATTCAAGTACAGCAGACCAGGTATAACATCAGCTAAATACACATTCCAGAAATCTTCTTATCTTTTATTTGAAGTAGCATTTCCGCCCCTACCTGCTTTCTAAATAAAAATCATGCCCCTTTTGTGGACAGCATCCATGTTCCCTTTTGCAGTGAAGACTTTCTGAAGCACAAATAAACTGAATGTTAGCTTTCATACAAAAAAAAAAAATGCTTAGAACGTATAGCATAGGAGAGCTTTAACAAACTAGAAAAATATGTAAATAGTATTATACCAAACCTTGGCACTCTACTAGTCGCTTTAAACAAAACGTGAAAAAGCTTCCTAGTTTCAGGTCTTCCTGACTCCCCAGTTTATAATACTTTGACATCATTTTAAACAAGGAAAGCTTGTAAAATGCTTGTAAAATGTACTTTAGTCTTTGATATAGATGGTTATAAAAAGTTTTTAATTGCCTACTTTTTTCTAACTTATAGCCTAAAAAAAAAAAAAAAACAAACAAAACTGTACCAAGCAGATACAACAAAGCCATCTGCAGGTATTAGCATTAGCCTGCACTGATATGACATGCTAAGAAATCCCAGAAATTTGTATGAGGAAACAGGGATGCTCTGCTGACTGGCCCAACACAGCAGGATGCGGAGGGTAGAATCACTTTTACGAACATTTCCCTATTTATTACCGTTTGAGGTGTCAGCAGAGTTTTAAGAACTGACAAAAACCTCACTGCTGCCCCTCTTACATGATGCTGTGATGCCTCCCCTACATGTTTTAGTCTCTTCCAAGTCCTTACTGCTTTCTGTTCCTTTAAACAGACCTCATTCCAGTTAATGCTGTTGGTTTTATGACCAATTCTTTTTTTTGTGTTTTGTTGCAATATTAAGCTTTGAACAATCTCAGCAACTGCAAAGTTATTCTCATTTCAGTGCTATTCCACTTATTCTCATTTTGGATGAAGGGAGACTACAAAATGCAGGAAGCCATTCTTATTAGCCTAGTAGTCACAAACAAGGTAAAAATAGTTCTGTTGAGTGCAAAACAAAGGCTCTGTTATGCAGAGCCAATAACATTAAATGTTCTAAAGCCTGACATGACAAAGATAATACAACAGTGAAGAACACAAAGGACTTGAAGTTCTGGAAAAATTTTAACAGTATGTCATACTGGATATTTATTATAAAAATTGCTTTCAAATAAACAATCCAGCAGACACTAAATAAACAGATTGTAGCAATTATATTTGCAGCTTTTATGAACAGCCATGGGCAAAACCAGAGCTTAATAAAACATCCTTTTTGGTTTTGTTTTTTTTCTTCTTTTAAAAAAAGGAAAATATATTAACTGTTAGTTAGTGTTGTTTTCCCACCAATTATGTTGAGTGGTATCATTTGCTGTAGCATCCTGCACAATACCGGTGCTTGCAGACATGATTCATGCCCATAAGGTTCATTATTTGTTTGGTTCCCATCCAAACTTTGGTAACAGCTCTCTCCTTTCAGATTACAGGCTACAGATAGTACTAGAAGAAAGGTATAGGGGCAGCTGATTCCTTGGTCTGTTGAACAAAGATTGGTTTACTGGGACTCCTTCTCTAAGTGGCTGAGTACCTTGCATACTTGCAATTCCTCTCATTGTATCTTTTTCCAATGAATAGTGACTCAATTTCTCTGTGACTGGAGAAATACATGGAAGAAATTCAGAGGTAAAGTTGTATGTTGCTATGACTTGAGCCAATCTTAAAAATTTAGTACAATGCCCTCAAAGGGAAGGCTCTGTTCTCTCCTTGCTGACAACTCCCCTCCCAGCCACAAACTTCTTTGGTGTTTCTCTGATCCACCAGTGGGCTGATACAACTCATTAAACTGACAGAAAACCAACCTGGCATTCAAATACAAAACAAGACAAAACAAAAAAGTAACGATTTTTTTTCTGCAAGATTACTAAAGTGAATTATCTCACTGTGGGATCAGATAAGCAACAAAATGAGCGCAAGGCAGAAGCCAAGACATTCCCTTTCTGACAGCAATAAGCCAGCTAGACCAGTTCAGCCATAAGCTGCAACTTCACCTTTCATCTGTTTTGTACAGAGGTGACAAAACTTGTGTGAAATGAATTTTATCATTAAGCTTGTTACTGTAAAGTTGGAGCAAAACTGTTCAAATGACCAGAAAGGTCAATACCCAGAAGTATCATTAGGAAATACACGCAGCACTATTTCTATAGCCTCTCCACTCACTTGAGTTAGCTTTTGCATCAACCTCTGCAGCAAGATCTCACTTCTTATGATTGCAGGTTTTATAATCTGTTAGCTAATCTTCTAGCTATTGAAGTCTAATGCATAAATTTCATGCTGCTTCTAATCCCTCATCCTGTCCTTTCCTTGAGTATCATTCCTTTTCATATTTCTCTGAAATCCCCCGTATCTTTCCCCTAAACTTCACTCCTGTTCTCAAATATACACTCAATCCTGCATCATCTTGCTACAGATTTCTACCAAAAAGACTTCCTCAAATCATAATCTCATACCATGCACTCCCAACTTCTATCACCTCCTCACATCTTTTTATCTTTGCACTTACTTTGCTATGAGAGCTTTTATCTTCTACAACAGAATCCTGCTATCTTTAGGATGCCAGTCTTTCTACCTTGTATCTTCAGGTCTGCACCTATGCCCCCATCCATGAAGTCCTTTGTCCCATGTTTTCCATGTGTTCCAGGAGGAACAGGTTAAGTTCCCTTACTGTACAGAATGCTGTAAATCATTTAACAAAATGCAGAGAAGGATGATCTTGGTGAGGTGTTCACAGAGAATAACATACAGAGATGACAAGAGATATGTTATAAAACATAAGCCGCTCTTGTATTCTGTCACAGCTGTAATCCTTCTCCACAGTAAACATGGTTTTATGCCTTTTGGAGAAGAGCAGTGTTTCAAATGTAAAGATATATTCTAACTCAATCCAACAGAGAACTGGAACTGAATCTGTATCTCATGTGTCAGATGAAAGCACTGGAGGCTGAACTGCTCTATTAATAAAGACATTAATTATTCCTGTGTTTTGTAGGACTCCATCCATTTGTCCTTATTAAATAACAACAAAAAGAGCAAAAGATGCACTTATCCAACCTGCATGCTATCCAGATGGAGGCAATCATGATCATGTTCACAAATAGCATTAAGTATATGGGAAACTTAATTCCCAAAGATCAGATGTCTATCCAGCCTGGGCATTTCATTGGCTAGCCCACAGTTGAGCAGCATTTAAATTCTTAATGTTCAAGTTATTCATCGACATTTCCTAGAAACCCTATTTAAATTCTACTAGAATACCTTCCTGCTTTAAAAATACCAAACCACCCTCCAGTTGAACCTGACTATTTTTCCCAGGGCATTTTTCTCTCTTCTGTCACCTATCAGCCTTCTATCACACCTCTGTTACCACTGTTTTGACACACTAGTTTTACTTTGTCCTACCTCTATCCAACAAAAACAGTGAGCTCCTGGCAAAGAATGTTCTAAATTCTGTGTTTTCTAAAGTGTTCTGCATTTGAGTTCTTCACAGCTGTCATTATTAGCCGTAACTCCCCTATAGGGCATATTCTTTATTATTATCATTATTATTATTTTACAGGTGAAACACTGTTCCTCTCTTTCTAGGATGCTGGTGTTCATAGTAAAGCATGGTATGCTGCTACCTGTGATAGGAAAACAGCGGAAGATGCATTGTACCGATCAAACAAGGTATGTCACTTTTAAAGAATGTCTATTTTATGAAAAACTTCAAATTAAAAAAAGAAAAATCAAAAGTCAACCCAACATATTCTAAGAACATCAGTTATATTCTGAACAGGTCAGAGTACTGTGCCATGCAAATACTGTCAAACACGAAATTATTGTGGTGAAACTAACTATGGTTTACATCCCAAGACAAAATTGTATTGGTATAACTCAAAGGCTGGTGCACTGCAGAGAAAGGTATGGCAGATTAGAGAGCTGAAGAAGACCTGGCAGCTCATGTGCACCCACTAAAATGGAAGGCAAAGCCCCACAACTTTTAAATTATCTCCACCACTGTCCAATGGCTCATGTAAAAACAGCTACTGGAAAGGCTGATGCTGCAATGCGTTTTGAAATAGCAACACTATGCATTTAGGTATTTGGAGAATTTTGAGTTCTCTCAACTATTCTGTGTACAAAAGCTAGTGTCATGGAAGGAAATGGTAACATGTAGAGTTACATCTTCAGCATCAGGTCCATTTCCACCCTTGCCCAGCTCCACAAAGCAGGATAGAGGGGCAGAGCACTGGAGTTATCACCAGTGTAGGCCACTGTTAGCTAGTGAGCACTGGGCTACAGAGTGCTTTTTTACAGCTCTGGGAAAGGATCTCCACCTCACTACCTTCTTGCCTACCTACTGCCATGGATAGTAACTTCACTTCCTAATGATCTGTGGACCCCAGCAGACTGTTGTCACCATATGTTTATTTCTTTCTTCTTTCTCTGGCTGAGAAAGTACAGGTAGCAGCAAAAGTGGGTCTTAAATAATACCTCTGTAAGCTACTGTTAGCAGGAATACATGCTACTTCTCACCTCCTGCTGTGCAGTTTTTCTGATGGGAGGAAAGGGTTTAATGCTAATATAGATGAAAATACTAAACTAAAAATAAATAAGTTGTTGGAAAAAAGCTCAATGCACTTACTATTTTCTCTCTTTAGGATGGATCTTTTCTAATAAGAAAGAGTTCTGGGCAGGATTCACGGCAACCATACACACTGGTTGTGTTTTACAACAGAAGAGTATACAACATTCCTATACGATTTATTGAATCAACAAGACAATATGCACTGGGCAGAGAAAAAAGTGGTGAAGAGGTGAGATGATTGGGAGGGGGATTCCTAACTGTTTTCAGTTATATACCTTTAATGAGCAAGGATTAAGATATACTGCACTATGACCAAAAGGATTCTTCATTTATCAGTATAAAAGTATACTCTATATAATGACTGATCTATTATATCAAGCTAGAGAAACCCATGTAACATCAGCTCCCGCATACTGCAATTAAAACCACAGATCAAGTTAAAATATAATCATAGAACTGTTTTGAAAAGTTACTAGGATCAGAGCTGCAGCTACTAGATAAATTCTCCAGCTGTTGATAGTCCTCTATTCACCTTCTAGTTAAGGTGAATAGTTAACTAGATAATTAATAGTTAAACAGTTAACTAGTTAATACTCTATTTAAATTTCTTGGAAAAAATCATAAAGGAAGAACCATCACGCTCAACAACAAAAAAACCCAACCCCCCAAAAAACGAAACACAAAAAACCCCAACAAAAAAATAACAAACAAAACCCCCCTCTATCAAAAGTGAGAATGAAAGTATTTTACTCCTGTTTTCACATAAAGAAAACGTTAAACTATAGTTCTATAGTGAAAAAATCACTGGTTGGCTATTATATCACACAGATAATTACTCTGACAGCAAAATAGAAACTTGAAACCCAAATACCAATACAAACTGTTATCACTGCACATGTCTTTTCAGGGATGTGAAAGCAGGCTTGCCTTAGCCTAATTATCTGCCTCCCAGGCAATGGTTTTGAGGTTACAGAATAAATAAGAGCCTGGAGCTTATCTGGCCTTCAACAAAGGGTCAGAAATTACCTCAGGAGAAGGATAGTCCAAAACCTGTGTTTGACCAAACACCAAAAGGAAAAGCAGCAGACCTAGCAGATTCTGGATATTAATTTACAGTGACAGATATTAAAAACTGCATACCTAAACCAGTTCTCATTGATGGCTAGCTGTACCATACTACTCCTGGAGACTGCCCTCCCTCTGAGGCGGCTGAACCACAGACGAAGCAGTTTCCACAGCCTGCAACCTGGTATATATTAAGCTAAACTTGAAAGCAGTGTCAGTTTAATATGCCATGTAACAGCCTCTGTGATTCAGTTTGTGCAGGTGGTAATCAAAAATGGAGAGAAACATGAGGTGAGACAGCTAGTGACCACAGTATCTTCCATTGTCCAAATTTAATCTGTTTATGACTAGAATCAGGACTAAGAGCAGGATCAGTGCTCTTACTAAAAGGCAGTGCATCTCACTTGGTAACAAGTCATAGTTTCACTTTCTTTGATGGTGGGAGAAGCAAAGAGAAAAAGATGATCCAGTGATTACTAACAATACTACAGCATTAAATGAAGCAAGCACTAATTAATTTTTGTTTTCTCTATCCAGCGCTTTGACAGTGTTGCTGAAATAGTAGAGAACCATCAGCGCAGCTCCCTGGTTCTAATTGACAGCCAAAACAACACAAAAGACTCAACAAAACTGAAACACATTGTAAGAGTTTCTTAAACTGAACTGCTAAGATGAAGACTTTTTTAATTTCTTTCAATATCCCAAAACACATGGATCAGATACTAAAAGAAAATCCAAAATGATGGAAAATACCCCTTAAGAGCACCGACTGAGTAGCAAGAGATGTCATTCATAAAGTTCGATCCCATGTCACTCTTATCAGAAAAGCACCCGTATTTAACACAAGAAGCCAAAGCGTATGTACTCTTGTTTCTGATTTCCATCTGTGGCAACATGAGTCTTCCAAGTCTTGTGAAGAACAACTACATACTACAGCCCAGTCCTTTTGACTGCTATTTAATTCAGATTTCCTGTAGGACATTTTCACTTTTAAAAATGAGAATACCCACAGTGATCTACTCTTTCCATTTGTTACCTTTACTACAGATCACCGATTTCGGCAATTTCTTTGTAAAGTGAACAGCCCCAGACGTTAGAGCAGCTTGACCTAATGTACTGCTGTGTACAAGCTGAAAATAGAACTCTACTTCATATGATTAGTGGCAAAAAAGCTGTCTAAATGTTTTAGATTAATGGACGTGTGTTGTCCTTCTCCTCAGCTTTACTCTGTTTCATCAATATTTTTGTGTGTATTTTCAAATGTGCAAATAAAATTAATACTGTAACGCCAGTAGTGTATGGAAGCATTGCCGGATCACATTTCTTAACATCCTTCCAGCAAGGAAACATCAATTCACTATCATTGATGTTTTAATGTATATATTTGTTTGTGCTCCTTCACAAGTTCTATTGTTACAAAAACTATTGCTTTTTACAACTTTAACATATGTATTTGGCTTAATAGCTCTCCAGACTTTTGTCTTCAAATTGACTACTGTTGATGACTCAAGCATATTGCTTCACTGCTAAACCAACTACCCGCTCAGTTCTTGCAGAATTACTGTTTACAGACACACATATGCACAGAAGAAACCCCTTTCCTTTTTCAAGCCTGTTCTATCACAGTGGTTTACTTATTGTATTACTGCAAATTAATTTCCACAAACTTTCAAGTGGTGAAAATTAAATTGATGGATGTGTAAATAGCACCAATGAAAAGCTTTTAGGTGCAGTTGTTAATTAATTCTAGAGCTATTTGATTTCACTGGACCCGAAAACTCATCCATCTTAAAGGTATTTTCTAAAACTGACCCTCTATCCATACCTGCTTTGTTCCTTTTCTTACAGATTAGGCAGTGTTCTCTAGAATTATCTGCAAGGCATTTAAGGCAAGACTGAGCCAAGACTTGTGAAGTCTCAGCAAGTCACTTAGAGCTACATTGTATTCTGCACTACTTCCTTGTGGTTTTGATCAATTACTGTTACAATTAAGGCACCTGTCTTCTAGAAGGAACCGCTTACTAATATGATGATGTTCAGCACATAGCTACCTACCTTGCTGCATCTGTTTCTTCCAGCAACACTAGTAATACTCCAGATGCGAAGCAAATGGGATACTGGCTAGAAACAATGTATACAGACTTTACACAAGTCTGTCTACGACAGACTATTCACACTACTACAAAAATGCTACCTTTAGTATATTGTTTAGTTGTATTAATTAGTAGTATACTAATGCTATACTTAGTACTAGTGTAATGTTTAGAACACTAAGACTGCCAAGTCAAAGCCTCAAAATTAACAAGTTTTTAGTCTCTGTAAGCTTATTTTATTCCAGTACGTGTACTGGTATTAGTTACATGAAACATCACTTTAGAAGGTTACTATTTCAAGCAATGCTCACAGTGGAAAATATTCTGTGAAAAAGCAGCCACTCAATATTTAGCTTTCTTTGCATTCATGTAGTCCTTGCCTTATTCACTCATGTACTGAACAGTATTTAAACTTTGTTCTTAACCAAACTGCCTGTTTCTTGTTAACCTTCCTATGTTGCTCCTCACAAAAGTAAGTTCTTCAAACATTGTTGAGTTAAATGTGTAGTTATCACCATCATTCTAGAACTGGGTGGGGAAAGAAAGGCATGAAAAAGTGAAACTCAGGTGTACCTATAGTCTTCCCTATGAGAGACTAATTATCAGTTTTTTAAAATAATTAGCAATACTGAGCCCTTTCCACACTGAGCACTGCTGCTCCTGCCTCTTAGCACTACATGTAACCTTGTGACTGATATACAAGTAACACTTTTTAGCCATGTTCTACATCATTACAGGGGTACCTTACAATTTGGACAACAAAATGAGGCAGGGATTTATTTGACAGGCAACGCCACCTTCCACAAAATAATCCATACTTCTTGAGATTATGCTAATTTTGCATAAAATAGATTAGTACTCAGGATGGAATATGCTATGTTAAAAATCCCGATGCTATTGATTCAGCAGCCAGTATAGAATCTAGCAAATGGTAACAGTGCAATCCTATATCTTTCTTAAAACTGTTGCAGTGCCAACAGCTGCCACTAGATAATGCTATCAGGTGTTTTCACCAGGTAGTAGGTAGGACAAGTCTGACCTCTGACAGACACAGCAACACACCTTCCCCCCCATATTTCTTTGGTATTGTTAGCCAATTTCTGTTCTATATAATTGTCATTAACTAATAGCTAGGGGAAAAACAAAACCAAACCAACAAACAAAAAAACCCTAAACCCAAAGACCTAAAACTCGAACAATAAAATGGCTTTAAAATGAAGTAAATTTTTTGACTGAGAACTCGAGGCAATGTATCATATCTACTAATGTACAAAAGAGTGTAAGTATTGTGTGCCTACCTGATACAGTGAGTACACCAAGTACTGCACATCACTCCTGACAATGTTGTTCCATGAAAGGAGTAAGAACTTGCATTCTCAAAAATTCAAGTGTTCAGACATGCAAGTTACAAAAACTACAGCAGCAGGCAGAGATTTTTAGGAAGTGTTGTGGGGGAAAAAAAAGAAAAAAAAAAAGGCAACAACAACATGTCTGACATGACAACAGCCCTGGAACAAATACTGAACACAAGTTTTTTGTTAAAACATTGGAATCACTAAGGAAGAGAAACTGTGACTTGCTGGTGAATACACATCTTGCAAAGAAAATACAGTGGACTAGATTTTAGGCCTTTTTACGGCCACTTTACACAAACACACAAATACTGTCAAAACATTTGAACTTGCACCTATACTGTACATTCCAAATCACTGTAACCAAGTTAAGGTTTTCTGCTCTTGCTATATGTGCAATGTTACAAACTATTTTAAATGTTATGATTGTAGTCAAACACTCAAAATCAAGACACTCCAAATCAGGTTACCTGCGCAACCTTGTCACATCAGATACATCTATTACAATACAAGCATTAAATGTATGATCAACTATTTTTCCATATGGATTTATATATTTCACTTGGTTCACACAATACTTGAGGGATAAGTCATAGCTGTGTAAGAAAAGACTGTGGTTTGTAGGATATTTCCAAGATATCTTTCCCATTTACTGAAGATACTGAGAAATGTGCAAACATTGTAGGAGACAGCCGTTAAAAAGGTAACCTCATATTGTTAAAGCTGTTTGACATCTCATTGAGAATTGTGTATTGTCCCTGCACCTTCTACTGCACCGTGTGCCGTGATGCTGGTCAGACTGCTTAAGCCAAACTTTCTCCTGATGATCATTAACTGTGATCTTAATTTCACTGAAGTCTCACTTAAGATTCTTTGAAATCAGATCTGCAGAAGTGCCGAACTCTGAGGACCTCAAAGCATTATGGAAAAGCTTGTAAGAAAAAAAAAAGAATTACATATTCAGAACAGTACTTGAACAACGTGCACTAAATAATACAAGGACATAATTAAGGGGGGGAAACAAAATATTAAATCACTGCTCAAGAGGGAGCAACAGTTCTCTGCCCTGAATGAGGTGGGTGTCCATGGATAAAGTGACACATGACAATGAATTAAGATTGTATAAAACAACCTTATTTCAACATTTCCTAGCTTTACCCTTTTTCACAGTATTAAGGTTACCCAATTCATAAGAAAACAAGCTGGACGGAACAAAATTCCAGTGATGACAGTTGTCACTCTCCTGATTCATCAATATAGAGAACACCCCCTCACTCTACAGCAGAACTTCCACCTCAATGCTAAGGTTAGTGTTAACAAAAAATTGGTCATCTTTGGTGAAGTCATACCAAGTAGGTTTTAGCAACAAACTTCACATATATTTCTTCCAAAGGCAGCAAAGGCAACGTCCAGAATTCAGGGGTTCAACTTCAGGGTTTATAGGAGAGGAAGCTGAGGTAGCCAATAGATCCTTCCAGTCAAAAAAGCTTAACATATTTTTGTCCTTTCCTAATGCTGTTTCTTTTCAACACACCTCCTCACCACTACACTAGTCTTCTTCAAAGATCCTAGCCAAAATAATGTCAGCGCTCAAGCCCGCTGTGCAGCACAAAATTATCCGATTCTGACACAGAACACACACCAACGGTAAATTAATTCACCCAAACTCTGCTGCTTTGACTGTCTCAGGTACTTCAGATGACTCCCATACATAACTCAGCAGCTACAAGGCTAGTGTGCATCTTCCTGCCAACAGATATATCAAGAATGAAAAATATATCTTAGCTACTGAAGTAATTTTTCTTTTAAATCATTATAACACTTTTCAAAATATGTCAGATTCTGTTACTGGTGACATCCCTATAACATCCATGAGACTTCCAACTGTTTCACTGGTAGCAAGTCAATCTTCACTTTCACCTTATGAAAACAGTCACAGAGAACTACCCCTGGGCTTGCATACAATCTAAAACCTCAGAGAATTAAATGCCCCAGTCCTCTCTAAGTCCAGTATTCAATTCTGACAGTTTTTCCATCAATACTTTGGGAAGCTGATTTACATACCTCAGATGTAATCTTCCAGTACCTGGGCAAAAGGTGCCATATGGTAAGGACACTCCCACTGAAGACTGAATCTAACCTCTGGGTTCATTAATAATCTAGAGGACAAAGCCTCTAAATATAATAATTACTGTGGATAATAAGGGCCTTCATTTGTATATTCTCAGTCACTGTGGATAAGGTATTTTGTTTACATACCCTCACATAAATATTAAGAAATGTGAAGCATAACCTTCCTTCATCATTATCCCTAAAACTATAAGTACGAAGCAAGGAGGTTCCTAGCAATATTACCCTACTGGCCAGTAAAATGAGGGAGAAATAACCCAAGCCTTGGTTTGGTCAAACCCCTGGTACTCTAAAAGGCAGTTCATCTGAATAAGCAATAGCAGAATTACTTAAAGTCATTATGGGAACAAATTACATCCACCTGGAATAAAACTATAACGCAGTTACAGGCCTGAAATGGTACTTTGCACTTCACCGTATTCTGGCCTTCCTATACGGTTTGTGGCAGACGTAGTATAAAACGAAATATTTTTCATAAATGCTCACAGTCATATTCTATAAACACAAGTTATAGCAAATTTAATAGTGACAGTCGATACAGATTAGGAATGTTGACCATTCTTAAACACCATATACATTATGAATATATATACTGTATATTTTCAACTGATTTCATTCTCAGGCTCACCGTATTAACACAACTGTAACGTTTTATTAATTTATATGAAAAATACTTCACTAAGAAAGTAGACAAACTGCACAGAAATTGTACAAGTGTCATGTGCATAGCAATATAGCTTAAAGCATTCACATATGGCTTTGTTTAAATGAAACTACTGGGGAAATGGCCCTATATGGACCTATGGTTACACAGTTGACATAATGTAAACTGCTTCACATCTTTTAGGCACTTGCTAACAATAGTGTTCAATCCCTGAAAAACAAAATCAAGAGCTAACAAGTGAAAATAACACAAATCCCAGGATAACAGCTGTGTGTAGTTGAAAAAATGTTAAAAATTCACTTTAGTAGTGCATGCACAGAACTAAAAAATTGGGGGGGTGTGGTAATTTCTGTGCAAGAATTATACCAAATAATTGAAAAGTATAAAAATATTTACATGTTTAGGGTTTTTTTTTTAAATATGTACAGAACAAAAGCCCTGAAAACTCATTCTATAGAATAAAAATATAGGACATGATAGTAGTAACCAAAAAAATATATATTTTTATGGAATTGTATTTGCAGTTAGTTACAAGTTATCTAAACCACAAAGCTCCTTGATCTATCTCAAAGCTTGATGGCAATAGAGAATCTGCTCTTCCTTCTAAAACACGAGCACTTTGCATAATTTTTGAACTTGAATTATAATACTGAAATACAAAATGACTTGTATATCTTAATTCAATTGATTCACTTTTTAAAAAAATGCAATATGTAATATTTTATTTTCTTCACTGGTCATAATTACATTAATGAATTCCAATCTCGAGTAGCCTCCATGAGATGCCTCTGTCCATGTCCTACCCAATTATCCTGATTGTCAAATATTCTACCACAAAACCAGCAGCT